AATTAATTTGATAATTTATGATTGTACAATGAGTTGTGACCAATAAATAATTTGTGACCTACAAAAATATATAATTTGCAACTAAATTTATATTTGTGACCTATAAAATTGTGTTTTTGTAACTATGAACTTGTGTGGTTTGTGACTAGTATGTGATCATAGTTATAAATGATGTTTATTGTGATCGCGATCCATTTAATAAATTAGAGATCACAAAATTTTATAAGACGTCACAAAATATGATCACCTAATTTCTCAAAAAATAATAATTTTAGAACCTGGGAGATCTATAAGAGTGATTGTGACAATTCAAAAATCAAGTTATCACATAATTTGTGACCTTAAATAAATGTTGTGACATATTGAAATTGAACAGGTCACAATATGCCACACAACTAGTGGATTATAATCACATACTTAGTCACAATCACATGAGATACAATTTAAGGGTCACAATCACATATAACGTCACAAATCAAATAATTAATAGGTCACATGTACTTTATAATTAGAAATTATACAATTAATCGATCACTATCACTAATTTTCCGTAGCACAAGTCAATTAACGGGTCACAATCACTAACATATCTATTAATTACAAATCACACCAATTTCATTAGGATTTCAACGCCGATCTCACCAACAAATCACAATTTCAATTATTCACAAACCACACCATTTTCCTCGACAGAAATTTAATCAGTTTCGTTTGAAATTTCTTCAGCTACAGCTTATATGTCAGATTACTTAATACAAAAATTTGCACCCCAAAAGAACAATTTAAAGTTTATTAAACAATAAAAAAGCAAACCAATATGTTGCCCAAATGCATATACATGCGATGGACAGAACATAGACAGACCTTATTTCCCAAATTGGATTTGATAAAACATTGCCAAATATGGTTCAATCATTTTCACTTGATTTTCGTCTCCAATGATCAATAGTCCTCCCATCAACCACAATTTCCAGTCTACAAAACTTATCCTTGTCAGTTTAGTTTGATTCTCTGATAAAAAAAAAATTCCACATGCAATTGTAGTGGTGGAGACAATGGGCGAAGGAGATTTAGGTTTGTTCAGGAGATTTCAATCAACCAACGACATTTTCGCTACCGCCAATGTTCGAATAAACTGAAAGGAGGCTTCAGAATCCCATGTTTTTAAAGCAGAACTAAGGGGGCTGAAGAAAGAAAAAGTGAAATTAGAAGTGGAAGAGGGTAGGTTCTGCAAATCAACGGCGAGAGGGCAATGAAAAAGGAAGACAAGAATGATTAATGACATCTGATTGAGAGGGTATGAGGTAATTTTGTCAGGAGATTCTCTCCGCTGAAAAATGCAAAAACTGGTAAAGGCATCAACGGAGAATGGAGTTTTTATTGTAACTATTCCTGAACTAGAGAGGCATTATTTTCAGCTGTGTAGAGAGATTATGGTCGATTGGGTTTCTATATTATTCATCACCTGGTTTTTGAAATATTTTTATAAGTTTCTTAAATATGAAATAATATACTTAATGTATTGTAATTATGTGTTTTTCCCATTTTTAATCCACATTTAACTCAATTTATTCCAAAACTTTTTATTTCTCATATTCATTTTCAACCAAACATTCATACAACAAAATATTTTGCACGTAAATTAAAAATTTGTCACTACTTTTTAATCACACATTCATTAAAAAATCACTATTCAAAATATTATTTTCCTCAATTTCTCTTTACAATAGCCATCAAACATGGGCTAAATAAAATGTCAGCCTATCAAATTTCAGAATATCATTTAAAATCACTAAACTTTTGCCAAAATCTCAATTGGGTATTTAGATAAAATTTCGTCACAGTCATTCCCAAATTGACGATATTTGTTCTATAATTGATCTACTACGTAGTCGCTATATAATATTTATACTCCTGTTTGGGAAAGATTTATGAACAATTTAATTTATGAATAAATAGAAATAAGTAATCGAAAAATAGATAATATTTGTGGATTTATTGGAACATGTGGTTGAAAATAAAACTTGACCATTTATGAATTATTTATAAATTTTATCACGAAAGCATGAATTGACACACTGATAAGTTGACATGCGACATAGTGATTAATGGAATATGTTGATATCAAATAAGCAACTTTTATCAACTTTGGGAACGACTTATTTGAAGTAGTGAATTTAAAAACTAAAGTGCGCAAGCCCAATTGAAAAATAATTTGAATTTTAATGATCTAATTCAAATATTTCTAAAAGTTTAATGACCGTAGATGAAATTTACCCTTATCCAGTATTTATCTTCTTCTACTTCCATTCGCACTCAAAAGTATTAATATTTAAAATTTTCAACAAAAAAAAAAATAAAATCACAATATTAAGCATTCTATGCATGAGTTTCTAACTAGTATGTAATCAAATGATACAATTACAAAATTCATTTTTTGAAAATTTCAGTCCATCTCTTAGAAACTCGTATTAAATCTAACTATTCCTAGTACTTAATTGAAAATAGTTGTGAACTTAAATGTTTCCTTTCAAAATCGGGGTGACAATGATCGAGTTGACCTAACTCAACTCTTAAACGTTCGAACTTGACTCAACTTTATAGATGAACGGAGTTCAACATGTATCCATAAGTCTCAATTCGACTCTTTAGTTCGTCAACCTCATGGGCCAGTCAAGTGATACATGAGCCCACAAATTGACTTGTATTTTTCATATAAAATTAATAAATAAGTAAAAAATACTGAATCCACGAACTCAAAACGAGTATGGCCCATCATATTGAGGATCGGACCTTAATGCCACCCGTATCTCAAAGGTCAATCGAGGCCAGATTTTACGTTAAGAGTGAACCGTCAACTGTCGGTTACTTCCGGTTAATTACAATTCCTTAAAGGCTTAAAACGTTGTCCTGGGGTACAATTCCGATGCCACTCGCGGCCACTGCACGCCACGTCAATTGACAAAAACCCTAGTTTTTTTCCAAAGTCGCATAAGAGAGCGAGTAGCTTTCATTAATGTACTTCCACGAGTAATCCAAATTTTTAAACAATTTATTACCCAAAAACGGCGCCACCGCCTGAAAAATCTACACACTGCTTGCGTTCATTTGCGAAAATAATTACTTTCTTGAAAAAAAATGCCCAATAGGCCATCTGTCTAATCACCATATCTATAGTAGCTGAAAAGTTCATTCATATAAACCCTAATTTTCTTCATCGTGAAACTGCAATTTCTAGTCTAAAAGAGGTTCTAAGAATCTTCCTGAAGAAAAAATGGCTTATAAAAATCTTGTTCCATGTATATAAGGTAGACTTCCTCTCTCCGCTCTGTAATTTTTACTGTTAGCAGTGATTATTTGTTAGTATATCTTGAACTTTTTGAACTTTATTTCTTGTTGCTCTGCTTTTTTTCCCCTGTTATATTTTCCCCTTTCCTTTCTGTGGGTTCTCGTGCGTTTATAATTTATTTGTTTTATTTTTTCTAGGAGTAAAAACTAGAAAAATTATTGTAAATTTTTAATTACTAATACCGTTATTTATATGGTTTCCTTTAGGGTTATTATCTCTACAGTGGTGATTGGAAGAATTATTGGAGAAGGGTTTTTGCTTGGCGTTTCGTAAATTTGGGTTTTCGATAGAAATGGCAACTTCTCTAGAAATTGAAGCTGCCAGAAAAATTCTTGCTGGTACTTCTGCAGAAATAACCGAGTCTTCTGGAGCGCAAATGGGCGTTTCTGATTCTAAACCGGAAGGGAAATGGGGACCTCGTTCTGAACCGGAAGGGAACCTGGTAAAGCAGGTTAGTTCTTCAGATTTGAACAGAGACGATTGTTCAGTTGCAGTTACCAAGCGCGTTGTTGAGACGGAAACTGTTGTGGAGACTAGTTTTGAGAAGTTGGAATCTGATATGGGTGTCGAGAAGGTTGAAGAAAATGAAGCTGAGAATATTAATAATATATCTAATGTTGACACGATTAATTCTGTTAATCTTGGAGTTTATGCTTTTGGTTCTTCTGGTGATGCTGGCAGGGAGAAAAGGTTTGAAAATAAAGACGGGGAGGGCTCCAGTGCAGAGAATGTTGTAGTTTTGGGTGGTGATTATGAACAATTGAATGGCTCTGTAACTGATATGGATAAAAATGCAGGACAAAATGGGGAAGAAGTGATGAAAGTGGGTGTTGATGGGAATACTGAAATTATGGTTGCTGATATTGAAAAAATTGAGAATGAAGAAAGATTTGTGGGTCAGGAGCATGGATTTCATGTAGGGGATATTGTTTGGGGTAAAATTAGGAGTCATCCATGGTGGCCTGGACAGATTCATAATCCATTGGATGCTTCTGAATTTGCTGAGAAGCATGCTCATTCTGGTCAGGCTGGTCGTCTCTTGGTGGGCTTTTTTGGGGATCATTCTTGTGCTTGGTGCTTGCCATCTCAGCTAATACCTTTTGTGGAGAACTTTGAAGAGACGTGGAAAGACAGTAGTTCTAAGAGCTTTCTCAATGCTGTTCAAAGGGCTGTTGATGAAGTTGGTAGACTTGTGGAATCAAAGATGACATGTAAATGTATACCCAAGAAGCGTAGAGTTGGACTTTCTCGGCCGCTGGTGGCAAATGTTGGAATTAAGGATGGAGTTCTTTCGCCAGAGGTTGATATTGGTAGGCTTTCAACTCCTACATATGAACCTGCAGAATTACTTGCAAGAGTGAGAAGCATTGCAGTAGCTGTTTCTGTTGGCAGTATGATAGAGTTTGCGGTTTTGAAGAGTTGGCTTTCTGCCTTTAATCGCTCAAAAGGTGGTGGGTGTTTGCCTGTATATTGTGAACCCCAAGAAATTGAAGGTCTGGAAGACAATAGTAAAAATGTCACTGAAAATAAAAGTAAGAATGTGGATGAGGTCATGATTGATTTTAGTGTTCCAATTGAAGTCCCTATTGGTGTACTTGAAGATGATTCCCCTGTTTCACCCACAAAAGGTACTGGGAATTCTGATGCTCCTTCAAATGGGAGGAAGCAGAAAAGTGTTGCTGAACTTATGAAAGAAAACCCAGAAGTTAAGCCCAAAATTAAGAAGAGAACTACTGTCACAGAAGGATCAGATTTGGGCAAGTCCAAATCTGCCAAGAAGAGGAAGGGTAATGACAGAGGCGTAGAGGATAGTGGCAATGGTGGAGCTTCCTCAACACGGAAGAAGATTGTTGGGAAGAGGAATGCTGCGATTTCTGAATCCTCCAAAATCTCAGAGAATAAGGTTTCGAACGCTGCAAGTGATGATGTGGGCATGGAGATGAAAAATGAAGAACCTTTGTTAAGCAGACCAAAGGAAAATATTGCTTTTGCTGAGGGATATGTCACTGGAGAAGCCGTAGAGGCATCTGAAACTGTATCTTCTCCAAGGGAAAGGAAGAAAAGCAAGTACCTATCTCCCCCTTACACAAACCTAAATTTGAGGGAAGGAAGCTCAAGCTTTAAGAAGCGATCAGAAGTTGAAACTGAGAAAATTACCAAGATAGCTCGTGTGGAAGATGTACCTGTGGAGAAAGTGCCTGACAAACAGCAGAAAGGGCTTGACATATCTGGTAATGTGAGCGAGCCAGGCGAGGATACAGAGAGGACGGCATTTACTTCTGCAGTGGATGTTGGTGTTAGTGATATGTTATCTGAGATTCAGTTTGCAGCTGTTGATCATGTTTACTTGACCAAGAAAAGTTATCTTGAAGTAGTCTCGAAATTTACTTCTGCATTCAGGAGTTCAATCTATTTACAGGGATCGAACTACAAAGTTTTTCATAAATGCCAATCAGGTCGGAAAAGAAAGTCACTGCACTCTCAGCGAGATAATCTAGAAAATGATCTTACTCAGAAAAAGGCCAGATCTTCTGAGCCGAAAAATGCCAAGGCCAGGAACCAAAAGCAAGTAGCGAAGTCTGATACAACCAGGCCCAAGAAATCTAATGGGATTTCTGGCTCAAAAACAAGCGCTGATAAAGCCAAGAGAAAAGCCTCAATAACGTCCCTCATTTTGACATTTTCCTCTGGATTCACTTTGCCATCGAAGGAGGATATTGTTCAGCTATTTGGTAGGTTTGGGAGTCTGAATGAAACAGAAACTTGTTTGGTGCCTGATTCTCATAGTGTGAAGGTTGTCTACATGAATGACCGTGATGCAAAAGTAGCCTTCAGATCCTCCATAAACCAAAGTCCGTTTGGCAGCACGAGTGTTAACTATACACTGCAGCATTCCTCGGCTGGTTCAACTCCTCATGGTTCTCGTACAAAGTTCTCATCTCCCGTTAAGCGAATCTCCGAGAAGCCGGACACATCCCAGCATGCAGATGGCGACTTGCCTGATGTTGGCATCATCAGGGAGAAACTTGAGACGATGGAAGCAATGCTGGAAAACTGCAGTGACAAAATTTCACCCGAGGACAAATCAAGCTTGAAGGATGAGCTTAAATCCCTCTTGGAGAAGGTAGAAACATCTGTGGAAAAGGTTAAAAGTGTGGTCGAGAATACATCTTCGCAGAAGGATAATTTTTAAGTATGATGAGGCTAGGTTAATCTACAGATTTGACCTGTTCGTGTAGCTTTTCGTTCATTAGTCTACTTTTGTCGTGAACTAATGCCATTTCTCTCTTGGGTTTCCTGTATGATAGTAGTTGGAGAATAAGAGTATTCTGCTAGTTTGACGCTTGTATTCGATTTATTTCACAAAAATTCTTCGCGGACCCATCTCTGAGTCTTCCAGTGATCCCGGCTAATAGCTCCCTATTCGGTTCATCGATTGGAAGTTTCTAGGAATAAATGTTATGAAATGCAGTTTGGCTGAAATGGCCCGTCTCAGCTTGCACGAGTCTCCAAGAAGGCTCGGGTTTTTGACAAAGCTAGAAATAGAAAAAATATCCCTTCAAAGATGCAAGGAGCATCTATTGCTACAGCTATTCCCATCTGCATCCAAAAGAGCAACATGAGTGCCATACTGTTCAAAGGACAGGGTGAGGGTTATAACAACATTCCATAATCAATGAGTCATCTGCAGATTCTTGATCTCTCTTGATTTTAACCCAAAATTGTCTTAATGTCAAGATCATCTTCTTCAATATGTGTGAAGGAATCAAGAACTTCCAGAATGGTGGAATTTTTTTTGTTGCTTAAATATCTTATCAGGAACTCTTGTTGAGTCGTGCATGTGTTTTTTGTCCATCATACCTTAAGAATTGGGGTGTGTTAGGCTAACAAATCTACTATTTTATACGTTGAGGACCCGCAAATTATGTACACCAAAATCTATAGGTCAGCTTATAAGTTAGATAAATTGGGAATTTTTAACTTACTGGGTTTATAAGCGGTAGGATTCACGCATCTTGTCGATCCCGAACTTATAAGATAGCAATTTTTTATTTTTTTTATTTTTTATTTTTTTTCCCTTTCATGCTCTTAGTTTTACGTGAAACATCATATCAAGACTAATGCCCTAAAAAACTTTGACGATATACAACTTTATGTACTTTAGTGCGATGTTAAGTTTTAAGTAAAAAGTTGCATTTAAGTCATAAAATTAACTCCCGGCAAATAAAGTGAAAGTAATAAGCCTGTAAATGAAAGTAATAAGCCTGTACTTTTAACTTTTTTCCTAAGTTTCGTCATTTATTCTAATGTGGTTAGAAGCAAAAAATTATATACTATTTGTAAGCTTGAGATTCAAATACTCAATAAGATCGTGCGTATATATATATATATAGTTCAATCACTTCCAAAATGTAGCAAGTTTTTGTCCTTTTCGTTGATGCGTTACACATCTCTTCACTTGTCATTTTTAAAATTCGTACGAGGCATATGCCGACGTTTGAGTACTTTTTCTCCTTTGTGATAGAGATGATTGATCATCGAAGTCGCGACAATTACGATCAAAGAATTTGAGTGCTGATGTAATTAAAAATTTACTTTGTGTGATCAATTCATTAGAGTCGTCGTCACCTTTCTAGATAAGTATTCATTGTTTTCTTTGTTTCTTAAACCTTAGAGGTACGGTTCTTACTAAAGAATACGATTGTAATTTATCAACCGCTCATAAAATTACCAAATTCTCCGACTTAGCTCCAATTGGTAATCCACCCTCCCTTACCAACTTGTAGAATGAGAGAGATAACTAAATCACAATATAATTGAAATCCCAATATTCGTATAAATACTTTGAATTTCGAGATATACACTTTCAACTGCTCAAATATCAATTTCTTTACGCTTTGCCTTCCCTATCGACCCCTGCGCTAGTGAGTTGAGATTTATCGCAAATCAGTTGATTCTATTACTTGCCGATCAGCAAAACGAAAACTTTTGCGTGTCAACGGACTTGGTCAAAAAGTTTTTTTAAGCTTAAACAAATTTCAACAAAATTATCCTTAGCATGAAGATGAATAATTCACAAATGAAAACAAAACATTAATGTATCCTTGTCTGGTAACAGTTCTTCTTTCTTTTGCCATTATCAAAGCTTGATTACAAAATTATAAGGTGGGAATTTTTTAGTTAACTAATCAGGATTAAGAATTTAAGCAAAAAGCAACTCCAAAATTAACTGTACAATTTACATACAACTTAGACAGAATCAAATTCTTCATTTCTGTACTAAATACTAGTAGACCCATACATCAAATTCAAATTCCAAGGCCAAAGGGTAAAATGGACATTTACTCTCATCCTTTGAGGCCCAAAAAAGAGAAAAAAATTTGATGTTTAAACTTTCTTAAGCAAGAAATAATTTTTCAAAAATCATATTTTCCCTAATTACCCTTAGTTTCACAAGGAATTCCAGTGAATGAAACCCTACCAAAACCCAAATGAAAAATTTCTTCATCCTCAAACCCCGCGCTAAAATTGTCCGGTAGCTCTTCCTCAGGTGATACAATTTCCAATACTGTTCCTCCATTTACCCGTCCCTTTCCAGAAATTCCAAATGTGTCCCCACAACAGTCGCTATAACTCCTTTCACATTTTCTTCTCTTCTCCTTTAACTGCCGGTTTTTTTTGCCCATGCCGAACCACTTCCGGCCGACCATCCACGGCACCTTGATAAACGCCAGTGCAAGAAGGTTCACGACGGCGCATGGACAGCAACAGACGGCGACACAATCGGCGATCACTCCGGCGGTGCAAGATTGACATGACTTCCCTGTGCACGTAATCTTATCTACCCCGTCGTCATCCTCCACTGCTTGGCGATTGCGGTGGCGGCGCATGGCAACATTTCTTGATGATCCCGGAGATGGGTTTTCATCCATTGGATCTCGCTTTCTTGAAAAACCTGCACACATTAATATACAGAGTTGAAAAATAAAAATATTTCTCCATGCAATTATTCTGTTAATTCAAAAAGAGGTATAGAAATAGAATACATGTATTTAAGTGAATTTCACCATAAGAGATATTCTGATAATGTGATGTTCTTTGAGAAAAGAAAAATGGCAGATTATAGCAAAGTAGGACAGAAAATAGACTCACCTGAGAACACTCAGACTCAGTCCCAGACTCAGAAAAATCGTCAGTTGCTTTAGTGCTTGCTTTTGTATCTCACTATTTATTTATTGTGCTCGCAATATAGAAAGTCGCATGGTGAAATATTTGCCAATTATTTACTCTTGACGATTTTGGAAAATTAGTACAAGACACAAGATATTTGATGATGATAATGCAACTAGTACCGCATTTGAGGTTGACTATTCAAATCGTCTTTTTTTAGACTCCTCTCGTCATCTTAGCGCTTTCGATAAAACACAAGGTTAGAAACCTAACTCCTCCGCTTGTTTGGGAACTTACAAACTTTTAACGACAATCCGTTCATTTTACTCTACGTCTTTTTAAATTCTTCATTACCTTAAGTTTATTGTGTCACTTTTACGAACAAGGATCTTCCTAAGATTGGTCTCTCTAGCTTTTTGCTCAGTGTGATTTTAGGTCCTCATACTTATATACAATCACTTTGACCCATAACTTCTCCTTACTTTTTAATCGCAAAGATAATTTTTCACTTCAAATAATCTCTCCCAAATAAAATCTAAATATGTGAATCTGGATCCCCATCTAATCATAACTATCAATTTTGATGTTAAAATTGATTGTCATATTAAGTTGAATCGGTAAGAATTTATAAGTAGTATGAAAATTTTATCCTCCATCTTTAGGTCGCACGTGATTTTATCATTTTGACAACTTCGATTGACGTGAAGATCCAAATTCACAAATTTAAGTACATTGAAAACCGTAACCACACAACATAAAAAAGTTGGTGACCCAACCTAAATATCCCATAAACATCAAAGACAAAAAGGTTTTATGTATGTAGAATGATATCAAAGGGCAAGAAAGTGAAAATTTGAGGTGATAGGAAATTTGACTAGACTGGACTATAATGAAATGGGTCTAAAAGAAAAAAAAGTGGGATTGAAGGGAATGTGAGAGACTTAACCAGACCAGACCATAGACAGAGACATAACACACAGAAACCAAATTGGTGAAAATCATGCTTTCATTGGAATGTCTTAAATTCTATCATTCTTCATGTCTTGCACACATATAAGCTTTTAGAACTGTTCTATAATTACATCTTCTGCACTGAATTGTCAGTGAATTGTTTTACAGCACCTAGATGTCAAATAATTACTGTGTACTTGATACATTTCTTTAGAGATGGTAGATGAATAGATAATTATCCATTTTTATGGCCTAGAGTTATGAAGCGTGACAAAAATAATGATCAAATGCACGATGATATTTCTTATTGCACGAGGAACAATAGGAACAAAATCTTGGATTGTAATGACTCGATCTTATGTCCAAGCTATTAAATCATATATACTATTCATTTTGAGAGAGTCTGTATCCATCTTACCATTTTATGACTTTCTATCACATTATCTATAATTCTAGCTCAAGACAACTGCTCGAATTATGAGGAATGCAATAAAACTTCGTGAGAATAAGATGTGTAAAGATTCTTCCAAAACAGACAGTACATATAATTTAATGGCTTGAGCACAGGCCCAATCGTTATTGGACTCTCGCCTGATTATCACTAGAACTAAATAAAAAACACTATCTATTAACAAGAAAGAGAATCGGGTTTACACTGAAATCGTATGGGATTCACTTATTTTAATCACACTTTCACTAAGGTGAAAATCACACAGAAATCTATAAGATCTTGTTGGTGGGTGGAGTGGGGGTAGGACAGGGAATCTATATTGACACATATATTTTAACTTGCTTATCGTAACAAGAAGATGAAATGAAATTAATAAAACTATTTCCCCCGCAACAATTTATGAGTAACCAAGATCTGTTTTCAATTTTATTTATTAATTAGAGAGAAAGAACAAATTCCAATGAGGGGATGGAGATTCCACATGGGGCGTCACGTTGATTAAAACTTGTGATTTCATGGGCTGGCCAGTCCTCGAGACTCGATCTTTTTATTTAATTTTTTTCAAGTTTTTCATCTGATGACTAGGATCCAATAAACGGACAAATCTTACATATTACTGTCAAAATAAGCCGAAAGCAACCATGGCTTTAATTCACTTTTAATAATGCTAATGTTAATTTATCTTAGTCATCTACTCGTGAAATATCAATAACCACGAGACAGGGTTTAAATAAGTCAAATTAAAAACTGCTTTTTGGAGCAAACTTTTAATCCAAAATAGATTAATTTCAACAGAAGAAACTAGAAAGTGTAATTTAAAGACTGAATTCGTATTAGTTAAGGATAAGTATATATGTACCGAGGGGTTACCCAATGGTGTACCAGTAGTAGGTAAAAAATTCGATACGTGTAGCATTGTTCATAGATAAACTAATATATATAAACAAAGAAGGCTAAAAGCAAAGAACCGATCAAGGAGAATGGGATGTACGGTGGAGATGTGGTTTGAAATGTAAAGGAATATTTTATGTTTCTTTTTCCTTGACAGATCTACAAATTCAAAGCAAATTATGGGATGCACGATCATATATAAATAAAAGTAATTACACTCAAACATAATTTAAGAAAAATTAACTTTTAACTTAAATGCAACTTTTCTAATTAGGGAGTAATCATTATCTTCTCACATTCTATGATAGTCCGGATGTCAAAGAATATCCCGAATCGTGCATCTACTCTGAACGCTACTTATTTACATTGAAAATAAGCGAAATTTTGGTGAAAAAGGAATGGCATTGGATCGTATAATGTTGCTGCTTAAAGTTTGAATCTCGACTTTATAGAAAGAAACATATAGATAACAATGCGCTTCATCGATTTTTTTGAAGATTTTCGAGATTTACGTACCTCAGCAGATGTTCACAGGGTTTCATTCAATGCCACTTGAGAATTCAGACAAATGCACTCGAAATATTCGATGTAGCCATGAATATGGAGATGCTAAGACTGATCTGTTTTCGGTCTGAAATTTGAGATTTGAGAGAAGTTCAACAAAGTTTTGAATGAGATGATATGTTATTATATATAATGAGTGGCATATTTGCACACAGGCACACACGTGGGTATGTGTGTGAATATGGTTTGTGGGCTTTGAACACGGTATATTTTAGTGAAGGACGATGCTCCACTGTCAGGTGGGGGTTTACAAACCCCCCCCCCCAACCCCCCACAAGCTCCTCACATACATAGGGGGAGTGGGCATTTTTGGGTATTTTTTTAATGCGTGGGTCCCCCACCTCATGTGTGAGACCTATACAAATCCTGTGAAATGGGGTTTGTACACCCAGTTTAATTTTTTAGGGTATTCTAAATCTTGACTACAGCAAAGCATTTTCTTGATATTAAAAAAAAAAAAGTTGAACCGCATTCTTGAGGGCCCCACGTTTTCGTCCCTAGAGCTTTGTGAGGGAGTTAAATCGCGGAATGTGTCCCAACAAATTGGGAAACAAGAGCTGTCTGTACACTGCGTCTACAAGGAATTCAATTTCATGTCTCAGGAATCGAACCCCCACACTACGGTTACCAGTAAGGCGTGAGATAACCACACTCCTACCTTTGCACCACTGGACTATGCTCCCGGGGCACATTTTCTTGATATTAAAATATATATATTGTAGTAACACTGCACTGAAGCATGGGTATTTGTAGAGGGAGTTTTATATGTTCCCAACGTCAGTGAATAAAGGAAAAGGAAAATGTTCCTCTTTTTCAACTCCCTCCTTAAACTCCACGATGTCGCACGTGAGTCTGAACAAACAGCCATTGATGAATGACGGAGGTACCTTGAGTGAAGTTTTCTTGCAGTAAATCTGCATCTGCACAATGTTGAACAAATTGGGTTACATATAAAAAAAATGATTTGGATAATTGAATTTTGTCACATTTCTCGGATTCCAAACATTAATTTCAATTGAACATTTATCATATTATTCACAGATTTGTTTCTTTGGGCCGATTTCAACCGCGAATTAATGGGTACTTAAAAGCCAGTAGACTCTCATAATGCCAGTGTAAAGGTACGGAATCCAAGGTATATTCGACTGCATAGCAAAACTTATAATAATAAATATCTGAAACGGTCGGAAAGTTTGGGGACCGGTTTGCAACGATCAGAAAGTTGCGGGACCGAATTCCATGAGAATAAAACTTCAGTGACCAAATTGAACAATCATACTAGTTCAGGGGTTGAATTAGAATTCACAGTACTGCCCAAAATTTAAGATAATCCACTAACGCTGTCCCATACTATTTTTTTCCCAAAAAAGTTGAATACAAATCCACAATAATAATCGGTATTACATTCATCATTCAAAACTTCACTAGGCATCTTTGATTTTAAGGATTTGACAGAAAGTACCTACTCTTTCGACTCTTGATCAAAGCCAATTTTGAACAATAATTTACCAGTTATTCATTAAAACATCTCCATGTTCTTGACATCAGCCGAAAAAGCTTCTGGTTTGACAATTCAAACCGAGCTCTGTTGCTACTTGACGCGCCCCCAATTATTGTGCTTGAGTTTATGCCCGTCTCTCTAGCCAAATTTTCAATCTCGTCTCCACTTCCTATTATTCGATCAAAGCAAATGTACCTCCCGGATGCTGTCTTTTTCATCCCCTCGAATACACATACATGTGCCTCTGCTAACCTATTTACATCAACAGATGCTAGCAAGCCATTCACGTACATTTCTTGAACACCTTTGAGATATGCAATTGTAGATGTTGGACTACGATGGTAGAAATCTGGTCCGGTGATAAGCCCGGGACAAACGGTCGCAAGTTTAACACCGCTCTCCTTGGCAACTTTCCAAGCAGATTTTTCTGCCCTCAACTTTCCCAAAGCATACCAGAGCTGAAAAGTCCAGAGAAAATTTAATTAGACTACATTATATCTCACTAATTTCGCTTACAATTTGTGATTTATCAGATCATGCACTGGAAAACTAGCTTAGTTTTCGAGCAATTGCCTTTTTGTTTTGGCAGACGGATTCATCACTCCAGCAGCTATGGTCAATTACGGAAGGGAGTCCGTTACAAGAGTTATCTCGCCAAATGCAGGTCAAAAGTGAGGATGTGAGTACGCAATGTCTAACTGAAGGTGTAACCCCACAAGCCTTCACAACATTTTTACTTGCACTCACTTCAATCTCAGCCATGGCTTTCTGGAAAACATTAAATTTTTGTAATGACTTCGTTCCTCAAAAAGGGAGTAAAACTAATTGCAGGTATGAAATGGTTCATTCACTTCCAAAATAAAAAATTTACAATGTCAAAATTGGAGTAATCTATAACACTGAATATGCTTCAAACACTCCAACACTGGTTACATTTGTAATGCTACAGTATTATGTACATCTATGATGCACTGACAAGGATAACGGATACACGCAATTTTTCAAAATGTTCTGACACCACATGTTACCGACACGTTTATTAAAGAATTTATATAGGCCCCGTTTGAACTACATTAATATAAAAATGAGAATGAAAAATATACAAGAAATAGATTTTTAAATATGATGGCTCGATATGATGGATAACGGTCATATTTTTCATTTTAATGAGTGAATAACAGGAAACAAACAGGGGCTTAATGTAAATTTAATTTTATACTTTTTATTAATTTTTTTTGCTGAAATCTTTTAAATATAAGTACATATCTGTTATTTAATAATACTTTTGAGTTAAAATTATATGATATTTCTTATAAAAAAATGAAAAATGATCATGGTAGAGTGTCAGTATCTGACACGTGTTGAACGCAGATACGCTACCTTAGTTGAAGTGTCCATGCAATAAAGATTTACATGTTGAAGAAGCCATATAGCGAAGTTGCATATCTATCTTAATTACCTATAGCAGAGTTGCATATCTATCCTAATTACCACTAATATTATCCTGAATGACATCCGACAAGTACCGTAACTTTCCTTAGTCCATCTTGTAATCTGTTATCTCATCTCTGGGAGTCGACATACTTTTGTACTAAAACATTTCACCAAACAGCTTACACTATAGGAGAAGGAGAACCTAATTTGTTTTTATTTTCTCTCCAACAAGAATCCTCATTAAATACTTTACACGTCAAATTTTCAAAATCGACACCTTTGCTTGCTCAGTATCATATTAACCATCTTATATATCCTTCTTATGTAAAAATTCAAATTTATAGTCTTATTTGGATACCAATAGAATAAAATTGTGTCAACAACTCAACACAAAACCCTCTCCAAGTACAGTATGATACGGATATTTGTAGTTGTGTTTGTAATTGGAATAAAAAAATGATAAGAAACAGAGAACTTTCTACCTATTGTCATCAAATAGGAATATGCTACAGAGTGTTCAGGCTTTCAAATTATGACCTTAACCTCACTTTGATTAACAAAATCACATCGTATGAGACCATTTGAGTTATAATTAAAGCAGCAATCTATGTCTCTATAATAATTCAATGATTAGAAGTGAGACATTTCATTCAATTCCACAAAAAAGGGGAATGCATTAAGACTGACTGGCAAGCTGTCGAGGGGAGAAAATGAAAGGACGAAAGGAACGCTACTCACCGAATAGCCAGATAACCCAGCAGGGTCGATAAAGCCAGCAGTGTGGAACACGCCACGGCAACCATCAAACGCATTGGCCAAGCTTTCAATTTCATTCAGCTTAGCCATGACTATTTCAATAATACTATTGGTAAGTCTCATTTCACCTGATATTTCCATCTGCCTCAGCTTCTCCACATCTTCTGCATTTCCAATTCAACACTAATAATATGTTATACCACAATGGAGAGAAATCTCAGAAAAGGAAAAAATTGTAATCTGCATTCAGTAAATCCTAAAACGTAAAATCTAGAGTTATTTTTCAAAAAGAAATCTCAATGGTTGTAGTCCAGAAAACTTGTAAAGCATACTAATGAAAAGCAGATGTTTGACCCATCTTTCTGCACGCATGAATTAAGCAAGTTTTGATGTTGCAAATTATTAAAAAAATCACTAATAAATTAAATTAAATATTTTTCATGAAATTATGAATTTGAACATGTAAAGAGATGTGTATTTAAGCATGAATCACACTCAAACGTGGGTACCACCGGCTGGAAAAATTAATAAACTAAGACCCCTAGTTATACAAAACAGCCAAAAATTGCCAAACCAATGGGCGATGGACCAAAAATAACTCTTTCTAGAAGGTTACGAGAAAGAGAAAATTAAATAAAATTTAGAACCAAGACGCTCATAAAATCTAATAAAACTTTAAAAAAAATAAAAAAATCAATCACTGGTAATTTAAAAATTAATTAAGAACTATTCAACACCTCAAAATTTTGATTTCGAATTTTGGCATAATTTACAAGAAATTACGGACCAAAAAATCCACCGAATGCAGATAAACGTAAAAAATCAATGAATGGAAGAAATAAGTGAAGTCCTTAGAAGTTAGAACCAGACCCTCATTATCAACAATGATCCGCACGGAGTAACCACGGACAAGAAGCTGGTTCACAATAGCAATACCGAGGTACGAAACGCCGCTGGTGACACACACTAACTTCTCCAGTACGTCTTCGTTTCCAGCTCCGGAGATCACAGGAACATTGTCTCTCAAATCGTCACCGTCCTTTCTCCGGTGACCAGCGGCACAAGACAGCAGCATACGGCGGAACTCTTCTATCTCCGCATTATCTGTCTCGTGCAATCGCAAAATCCCCATTGAAGAAGCTTGGAGCAGTACGTGAAGTTTGCTACTAGGAGGTTAAGTAGGAATGGTATTCGGTCATCATACCTTATACGCCTCGTCTTTTATGCTTGTTGACGGCTCAAGATGGCTTGACTTGACTTGACTTGGCTTGGCTTGGCTTGGCATCTGTTAAGTTTTTTGTTTTCTTTTTAATTCATTTGCTATTTTTAATCAATGTAAATTTTCGTTGTAAGACCCAATCGACAGGCTGCTGCAGCTGCTCTACCTCATCTATCATGTTTATTTAAAGGGAGAAATGTAGTTGGGGTCTCAAACCTTTCGAATTATTGAAAATTATATTCAAACCTTTCAATTTTACACCCTTAGTACCATACATTTTATTTTGATTGAAGCTAGAGGACAAGTGGACGAATCAGCCCAAAAAAATCAATTTAACCATATTTTGATTAATACTAGAAGGGTAAAATTATAATTTTATATTTTTCTAATAAAAATGGGAAAAAAAAAGGATTTATAATTGTTTATCTTCTCCCCCACCCACCCCTCAAACAAACCAAAATCCATCCGATTTAGCCACTGTCATTGCCAACTGCTCCCTCCATCCAGAAAGAGTAACACTAGAAGATGAAATACCAATAACCAAGCAGTAACAAAATGATAAATCTACTAGTACATAATTTTGGGGCCATAAGGGTGTCCATACACTCACATGAGGTGAAGTTCATGTGAGAGTGACCCCCACCCGTATGAGTGTATGGACATCATTATAGATCCAAAATTATACACCACAAGCACAACGCATAACAAAATGAGAAAAGACGGCTGATTTCTTATTCTGGGATTCAAGATTTGCAGATGAAACACAGCTTTCTTTGTAATTCTTTTCAACAAATAGCATATTTGATTTTTATTGTGTAATTTCCAATGCAAATCTTGGTGTATAGAGGTCAAGGACTTGGTAAAAAGTTGTTAGACTGTAGTGAATAGTCAAATAACTGCTAGCCACTTCTTGAAGCCTTAGAATACTAGTTTCTCCTTATTTGAGTGAAGAGGATGAAGGAAGATTGGATCTCATCATGGGAGAACTTCATGAAGGATCAAATTGAAACAAAGGTTTGATGCAATTGCAAAAGTAGAATTGTTTGACATATGTCCAAAGATGAAAACTAGTTAAAAAGAACAATTTTGGTTCATTAATATCTACTAAATCATTCTTTTCTTGATCGAGAGAGTGGTTATCGACGGTGGCGATGGTAGATGAATTTTGGTTCATTAATATCTACTAAATCATTCTTTTCTTGATCGAGAGAGTGGTTATCGACGGTGGCGATGGTAGATGAATTTTGGTTCATTAATATCTACTAAATCATTCTTTTCTTGATCGAGAGAGTGGTTATCGACGGTGGCGATGGTAGATGAATTTTGGTTCATTAATATCTACTAAATCATTCTTTTCTTGATCGAGAGAGTGGTTATCGACGGTGGCGATGGTAGATGAATTTTGGTTTGATTGAATGTTAGGGATGGGGTGAGGAAGAATCCTCAATCATTTTTCTTCTTTCTTTCTTTTTGTAATTACTTAATTGAGGAAAATATAAAATTAAGATTTTGTCCTTTTAAAATCAATCAAAATGAGGTCAAATTTGATTTTTTTTTTTTTTATTAATTAACGATCAAATTGACGAATTCCGTCTACCGTCTCTGTCTCAAGCATCTAATTATATTTTCCAATTAAAATGAAATATTACTACAGAAATGAAATTATACATCTAGAATATTCATAAGAAGACATGATCCCAAATCGATACTTGACATGTATGCCCTCCAGCTACAATCGAAATGAAAGGTTTGGGACTGTATGTGTAAAAATGAAATCTATGAATATGGTTTGCAACAATATGAAAAGTTTGAGACACCAACGGCAATTCTCCGTTATTAAAATTAAATAATTTAACCACAAATTATTTATATCGGCTCAGATAAAGAAAAGATGGCTGGGGCTTGATTTATAAGCGGCTAAGAAAAGTGAGAAAATCAATGTGGACCAGACCACGTGTTGAATGACAGGTGTCTGGCTCAGCCTGTAGCATTAGGGTGGCTGGTGGTTGATGGAAACCCATCGCTAAAGTCACAACCGGTGATTTTTGCTCTATCACCCACCGTATAACCTACTAAATTTCTTGATCTGGCGATTGCAGACCGTTCATCAATCTTGTTAAGTCCAGATAACAAGAGATTTTGCGCGACCACGGGAAGTACGTTGTACAGCAAGACCCCATTTTATTTGTTTGAGCACCGTTCTTTCGTGAAAATGAATTTTGAAATGGTGTGTCGATGAAAAATATGCAGTTAAAAAATAAAGAAAAATCTTAATATTTTGTATAATACCATTTTATTAAAAAATAAGTGGTTAAATGATGTCAAAATGCTATGTAAGAATTTTTTTATTTTTATTTTTTTTCGAAGAATGGGCTGAAATGTACTTTTCTTTCTTTCTCGTTCTGTTACGCTAGTTGGAATTTTTCTATTCATTTATTAAACACAGGTGACGATTTTAAGAAACCATGAAAAGATTATGATACATAAAATGCGATATTTGCCACCCCACGGGAAAGGCAATGCTAGTTGATTTTGTGTTGAAAAAAAGATCCACGTTAATTATAAGTTCACCTCAAATATTTGTAGCTTGTAGTGTTAGGCCCTGTTTAATCCACATTATTTGAAATATATATATATATATATATATATATTTTTTTTAAATAGTAATTTGACATTATTTCAACCACATATTCTTCAATACATTATCTAAAAATACATTTTTATGAAAATAATGTGGCTCAAACATGGGTTTAAAGAAATTAATCGTCTATTAAGTTACGTTAATCTACGTGTAGAAAATGAGAGTCTCCTCCTAAGTGCTAAAAAAGTAACAAGGTGCATTTAAACATGTACTTTCTCACAAGAATCACTTACCAAAATTTAAATCACATACACAATTATATAAGTTAATACTTACACGTCTTAAATTCGAATCAAGCAGTTCATTTTTTATAAGAAATGAAAATGATTTTGTCCAATTATCCATTGTACAAACTTGGAATCTCACACTCCGTTCCATCCCCATCCCCATCCCCATCCCCGCTTATGCGGGGCCAGGAGAACCCTGACCCGTTTATTTCCAGTTTATGGGAGTGGTTCACAATGTTTATTCAATTGAAAGTGGCTCTTCCATTTCAGAAAGGTCGTTTCACGTACCAACATCGTGGCCCTTTGCTTAAAAGAATGAAAACTACTCGACAATTACATATTGACACATAAAACATTGGGCGATGCTTGTTGAGTTGTGTCACAGGCGGGGAGTTGTTCAAGTGGTATTCCCCTAAAATTGCCAGCCATTTTTTAGGAATATGAGTTTTTAAATAGTAAATTTTCAAACGTGTAATTAGCAAAAAATAAGAAAAAATTTTGAATTTACGTGAAAAATAAAATATTTTAAGAATGTGTATTTGAAAATGAGTCTGAGAAAAAATGATAACCAAACAGGGCATAAGTAGCTTTTTCTTACGTGTAAACTTATCAACGGTGAAGAACAGGCAGTCAATTCAGGATCACGCAAGATCGTATCATCAATTTCGATTTTACTTGTTCAATGTGTTACTGATGTTTCCTCAATCCTCATAACTATCCCGTGGTTTCGAGTCCAACTCACCAGATTTACAATAAAAAAGGCAACGTCACCTTACAATAAATAAAATTTTAATATTTATCTTTAAAGCTATGAGTCGACCACCTTAACAAAGGTGCCATAACAAGGCAGTGCCACCTTATAATGTACAATAATTACAAATTGTTTTATCCAATTTCAAAACGCGACGCCTATTTGTTCACCCTTGAAGAGCGGCAACTCAGAAAATTGGCTTTAAAATCACATCTGCTGCACAAAATCTCAACCCACACCTCTCCTATCTCTAGGACAAATAAGGCTAATGAAGCTCTTTTCCCTTGTGGGAGATAGAAGTAGGAGAAATACCTCGATAGCTGGTATATATTGTCACGCAGCCTGCTTTCTTGCGTTTGAGCTTCAATAGCTATCATGTATTTTCGTCCTTCTTGAGCAGCGATTCTAATTTCCTTTCCAACTGAAAACCATAGAACATGGAATTTGTTAAAAAAAAAAAAAAAAAAAGGGGGTAGCAAGAAGAAACCTTATGTTATAAGGAAGCTTTTAAATTTAATTCTGTAACCGCACTGTTCAGTACAAAGCTTTATAAATAGTTTAATTTATAAATTGATAGAAACGAGTAATGGACAAGTTAATAGTACTTGTGGGTCCATAGTACAACTTGAATAACTTAAATAAGTTGGAAATAAAATAAAAATAAAAATAAAAAAAGAAAAGAAAATACTCATACCTGCGCAACATCATTTACTCCTGCCTCAGAGAACTCATTAGGATTGCCTGCACCAAGAAAAAATCGTCCATGATGAGATGCACGAAAGGCAAAATATTGCTCACCACCTCCACCACACACACAAAATGAATAGAAAAAAGAAAACATGTCACGATGAAAATAGAGAAACGTGTGAAGAGGAATGGAAGATTTGCTAATGAAAAAGGAAATATGACTTGCTAGTTTGCTCATTGGTTGGATAGGAAAATGCGAGTTGTACATTCTGCACTTCAGCAAATTCGCTATTATCAACACGTACGCTTTCCTGATAGATGAATAAGCAAGAAACTTTTACTCTGTACAGATTAGCAAATCTTCCATTCATATCCCCCGGAAAAAGTAGTAAAAATGGTGAAAATAATTTTTTGTCTCAGATAAAGCATATGCGACAGTACCAGAGGTTTGCTCCACAAACTTGATCAATTTAATTATCTCTTCCTGGTAAGAACAGAGAGCAAATAAGAATCGTGATTGTAGGGCAGGTCTGGTCAAGATAAGCAACACTGACGCTGGATCACTTACTCTTTGCATAGTGTTCTGCTGCAGGATACATTGCAACGATGGAAGAACTGAAGCAGCCTCAAGGATTGGGTTCATCGGGCTTGTGGAACCTCCAGTATTTGTATTAAAGAAACAGTTCGAGGAACCCTGAATACGAGAAAGAAAAGCCAATGGTTATAAAGCCATTGCCCAAAAAATAGAAAGCTAAGTTTCACACTTTTTATTGAAGACAAGCTAGGCAAGGGCAAAATATCTAGAGGAGGAAAAGTATCTCAGGATCAAACATAAGAATTCTACTCATCTTGATTCTTTAGTTAGTCAACCTTGAAGCAAGAAATTATTCGAGGACTCAAATTATTCAAAGACCATTTGATTATATTTAATGAACAATATACACCAAGATGAAAAGGGAAATTGCAACCACGGTACCAAACATTTCGTTTATTAGCAGAGTTTACCCAAACCTTTCATTTGTGTCGTCATGAGTACCAAACCTTCAAAAAAATTGCAACACAAGTCCAAAATGATAATTTCCATTAGTTTGACTACCAAAACCGTCAATTGACTCCTAAAATAAAAAACTTTATTATTTTCCTCAAATCAGACAAGGGCATTTTGGATTAAAAACACATTTTCCCTATTCATCAAAAAAAAAAAAACAAAAAAAAAATAAATAAATAAAGTCACAACCCATCCCCATCTCCTTCCCAAAAATCAAAACCACTCCACCAAACCATCACAGCCATCGTCGGCAGCAACCACTACCCACCCAACACCAGCATCACCGCCCATTCATCAACCATTTCTTTAACAAATTTGGCAAACAATGAATGAAAATGGGCACTCCGCTCTGTAACAAATCGTTTAACCAAAACCATTTTTCCTCTTCGTTCATTTTTTCCCATTTCATCTTCAAATCCTCTGATTTCAATCCCATGAAATTGCACAATTCCGTGAACAATACTCCCCCGCTTTTCTTTAAGGCTTCTTCTCCTTGGAACAAGTGGGTGTTCAATTTACTGTTTTCTAGTTCTATTGCCAGCATTTTGTCGTTACTTATTTCTTTGTTGGTGCATTTGATTTTGAGGTTTTTATGCAGGTTTAAATTGAATTTGGTGAAATAGGTGGCGGCAGCAGTAGAAGGTAATAGGTGCATGTGCAAATTTGTAGGATGTGGGTGAAGTTTTATGAAAAGGAGGTGAAATCTTAGAGCCATTTTTTAAGTCGGATTGGTGGATTGTATGAATTTTGAGGAAGATTATGTTGTTAGATTGTGGGGAATTTGTGGATTGAAAGTGATGCGTGGGTTTTGTGGAGCTTAAGGTTTTGTGAGAAATGGGAGGTGGTGATGCCGGTGTTGGTTGGGTAGTGATGGCTGCCAGCGGCAGCTGTGGTGGTTGGGTGGAGTGGTTTTGACTTTACGGAAGGAGATGGAGAGGGGTTGTGGCTTTATTTATTTTTTTATATATTTTTTATTTAATTGGGAAAATGTGTTTTATCCACAATGCCACGTCTTATTTGGGAAAATAATAAAGTTTATTATTTTGGATGTCAACTGACGGTTTTGGTAGTCAAACTAATGGAAATCGTTATTTTGGACTTGAGCTGCAAATTTTTTGAAGGTTTGGTACTCACGGTGGCACAAATGAAAGATTTGGACAAACTCTGTTAATAAATAAAAGGTTTGGTATCATGGCAGCAATTTTCCCTTTAATGAAATTAGTAAACCTTGAAGCAAGAGATTATTCAAGGACTCAAATTATTCAAAGACCATTTGATTATGTTTAATGAACAATATGCACCAAGTAATACAATGAGATAGTGTTCTGAAAAAGATGAGAGACGAGAAGAAAGGAAATAAACTAGAAGTGGGAACAAGAATCCATGAACACAGACAATTTTGAATCACCTAATTGACGAGTCTAAATAACATACGACTCAAAACATACCTTGGGGCTCAGATCTGCTGAAGTGACTTTAAAACGTCCCCTACGTTGGACTACAGCACCTTCAGATACATCTTCCCCTAAAATGAAGATAAAACATTCGGTGAACAAAGGAAATAAATATAGTATAGTTACAAAAAAAAAGGCGTTCAGAACCATCTAGATGAGTAAACAATATGGTATTCATAGTCTAAAAAGCATTACCAGCTGTAGAAGTACTGAAATCTTTCTTTGGACGAAACTGTATTGGACCGCTGTAACTCCGCTCACTTGGATATCTTGGTCGCAGATGTTCCCTTCATATTAATCAAAATTATACCATCACATTTCTAACACAGTATTTTCACAAAATCAAGGAAGAAGCAGCCAAAACTAACTTGGGAAATATATTATAAAATACAAACAAATACTATTCGGCAGTATCTTATTGGAAATGGCCAAAATCACCTCATCATACTCATAAACACCACACATGAGGATATTATGAGACACACTTTATTCTTGCATCAAAATCACCATAGCAAATGGACCTGATGCCCACCTGTTATAACGTGGGCCAAGGAGCCAATACCAATCTTTTCTCTGCTTAGTGATAGACGTAATTCCTCTACCATCAATGTGTCAAGTACACACACCGAGGGGAAGGGGGGAGCTGCTATTCAGCAAGTGCATGCAATCTAGAAGCAAGAAAAAATTTCATAGGATGTATCCATTCAAATGATTCATTTAGTCACACTACTGAATTGAAGCAGAATGGGTAATGATTATGGGTTCTAATTGGCTTCCGATTTTCTTAAACCAAAAGGTTAAGAGGATCCAACACATTGACGCACCAAATCCAAATCCCACAAAATAGGGGCTTCAGTTTTATTCTTACTCCGTGGGGGTATGTGAACTTCACTATTCTAAGGTCTTGTAAAAGATAGCTAGCCATCTCAACATTTCAAAACCTAAGAAACTTGTTTAATCCGTCCTAGTATTATATGTATGGGTCAAATTCGCAAAAAAAAAAATAATAATAAAATAAAATAAAATAAAATAAAATTCTGATAAAGTAGGTAGACACCATCCAATTGGCTTCCGATTTTCTTAAACCAAAAGGCTAAAAAATCCAGCTCATGGACACACCATGTACAAAACCCACAAAAAACGGGGCTTCACTTTTATTCTTACTCTTTCTGGGCAATGTAAACTTCAGTATTCTAACATCTTGGAACGGACAGCTTGCTATCTTAGAATTTCAAAACCTAAGAAATTTGTTTGTCCACCCCCCCCCCCCCCCCCCAC